GTATCTGATGATTCACCTGGAAAAGTTATCTTAAAGTTGGTGCCTTTCTGTCTCTAGTTGGCTCTAAACTACAAAGTTTATTTTAGTGATTTCCATTAAAATGCCTATCCTGGTCTCTGTGGGTCACATGGGTGATATGCGGCTATAAAACCAGACCCTTCCCTTTCTGCTGTGCATCTGCCCTGCTGTCCAGAGAGTGGAAAGCAGAGTCTGAAGGCCAGAGATATAAATGCTGAGTGGCTAATCTAGGGCTCTGGGAATGGTCATGCACAAAACAGTTTTGCTCAAGAAGTGTTACCTCTGCTGCTGGAGTTGGAGAAGGCAGTTTTCAATTTATTCAGCAGAGAATAAGGAATCTTATGTTTCTGCTTTAAAAAAAAGACTCCGAATTTTTACTACTGAAATTTGCTTCAAGTTCTTTGAGGAATATGCATGCTTAGGCCCCACAAATTTTATTTAAAAGACTTAGCCAGTCCATGGGTCTGAGAAGAATATGGCTGGGGATTTGGTCCACATGCTGTTCTAGGATGGACTGTGCTGTGTCATGCTCTGCAGAGACCAATGCAGGTTGCTTTCTACAAGCCCTTTGGCTTTCAAAAGCATTTGTTAATAGGAAGAGCTTTCTCATGTCTACCATAAATCTTTGACATTGAAGCAGAATTTCTTCAACAAGCAGTGGAATAGAGCTCTGTAATTCAAAGGTATCGGTGAGTTGTAACTCCAGATCAGCAAGGTCAGTCCCCGTAAACCAGCTGTGGCCAGAGCATCTTGGCAGTGCTCTCTCCACTGTCCTGGGGTAATGAGGAGAGAAAATATTCAACGGCATGTTTATACACTGGGAATATATCTGGCCTTGAGAGGGCAGAGACCCTTATAATGTTTGTATGGGTGCAGGATGGCACTTCTGAAAAGTCTGTCTGCTTTTGTCCAGAGAAGGCAGGGACTTTGTAAAAAGAAAGAAAAGAAAAAGAAACCAAAACATTTCCCAAGAGGTGGGGCCCTGGATCACCAGGGTGACCTAGTGATAATGTTGCAGGGACAAGAGCTTGGTAGAGATGTGGGATCCACCAAACATTCCCCTGCCTGACAGCTCAGCACACACACATACCCCTGTACACACATACACACACACACACACACACCCCTGTACACACATACACACCCACCCCTGTACACATGCACACACCCCCTGTACACACATACACATTCCTGTACACACACCCCTGTACACACATACACACACACCCCTGTACACACATACACACCACTGTACACACATACACACTTTTGTACACACACACCCCTGTACACACTCACATACACACCTCTGTACACACACACCCCTGTACACACATACACACCCTGTACACACACACCCCTGTACACACATACACGCCCCTGTACACACATACACACCCCTGTACACACACACCCCTGTACACACATACACACCCCTGTACACACACACACCCTGTACACACATACACACATCCCTGTACACACATGTACACATGGATGTTTGTTTTTCCGTCTGTTATCTGGTCTATTTTAATGCTTAGCTCCTGGAGTGGCCCCATGCCAAGGCAAGGAGAATTTGGTTCTTTTTCCCTCTAGAATGCAATGAGAGAGGAGCTGGTAATTTTCTTACGCAGGTCCACATATTTGCTTGCTATTTCTAGCAGAGAGAAGAGAAAGTATATTTTCTCCCTGATTACTAGCTTGTCTGAGCAGTTTATTTGTCTCTTGACTCAAATGGTTCTGGACAGGCATTTTATTTAAAGCTGAACTGGAGTATTGCACTAGAGATTTTGGAGGGTTGTGGTTAAACAGAAATTCATTCCCATCATATCTTCTTAAATTCTTGGGACTAAAATTTCATTTCTCATGAAAGAGGACAGAGGGCAGGTGTTGGTGTCTCAGCGGCCATCCTTTGTGATGACTTTGTTTCACTGTGTTCCCTAGCCTTTCCCTCTGAATGGAGTTCGCACTGTTGTCATTGATTCTGTCTCTGCTTTACTAGATCCTCTGAAAGTTCTGGAAGAGTTTGAAGAGCAGGTGCTTCCTGTGCATCATACTTAAGGGTGTTGAGGTTGAGACATAGATGTAGGTTGGACAGTCTGTCCGTGTTTACATCATTGGTCTTTGTATGACCATTCTTGGATCTGAATGTCAAGAATTGCAGAAGCCTTGGTTACTTTACTGTATGCCACTCAGCCAGCCAGAGGCCTCGGGCATTAGTTTTCCTACAAGTAATTCCAGCCAAGTCACCAGGCATAGAATGTGAAGAATAGTGAGTGCACCTTATTCTTATTCAGCAGTGCACCTGGGGTTATGGTAAAGCTGAAACCACTTCTAAAATATCCAGGAAGCTCTTTCAACCAGAACACATTTAAATCTTTCATACTAGGTTATTGAAACTTTTTCCTGCTAAATAGAGTTTCCAGGGCACCGACCTGACACTTGCTGTGTTGCTATGTTGGTTTCCTACAGCTACTGTGACAAGTTATTACAAACTTGTTGACTTAAAACAACACAAGTTTATTTTTCTTACAGTTGGGAGGGCCAGAAGTTTGAGATCAGTCTTTCACTGAGCTAAAGTCAAGGTATTGGCAAGGCGAGTTCCCTTTGGAAGTTATAGGGGAGTAGCTGTTTCCTTACCTTTTCCAATTTACAGAGATAGGTTTCTCTTCACTCATGTCTTCCTTTCTCTGTCTTCAAAGCCAGCAGCATAGCATCTTCAAACCGTGTTCCTTCATCTCTCTGCTTTTGTCACACCTACCTGCCTCCTGTTTTGCTGTCTCCTCTTCTGTCTCTTTTTTTATTTTTTTCTCGAGACAGAGTCTGTTGCCCATGCTGGTGTGCAGTGGTGCCATCTCAGATCACTGCATCCTCTGCCTCCCAGGTTCAAGCAATTCTCCTGCCTCAGCCTCCCAAGTAGCTGGGATTACAGGGGTGTGCCACCATGCCCAGCTAATTTTTCTTTTTTTAGTATAGATGGGCTTTCACCCTGTTGGCCTTTTATATAGAGGTATTAATGAAGCGGCATCACTATCTGGGTTAAATACCTGAGGTTCATCATCTCACACCAAGGAAATCCAGTATGTGGGCACATGAAGTAGGTTTAGGAGTGGAGGTTTAATAGGCAAAAGAAAGGGAAAGGAGAACAGCTCTCAGTCTTGAGGAGGCGGTGTCTGATTTAGATAGGGCCTAAAGATTGGTTGGACCAGGTGTGACCTTTACCTGGCATGAGAAAGCTAGCCTTCCCACCCTAATCTTCTGTTATGCAAACGGCTTCTCTACCTGGCCAGTGTCATGTTGCCTGCTCCTTATTATACACGTGATTGGCAAAGAAAAGGGAAGATGGAGGCGCCATTTTGGACGATAGCCTCTTTCCTATTGGCACAACTGCCAGCATTCAAACTGCCATGCGAGCTTCCAGGTTGCTTGTCTATGTCTGCAGCTCGATTTTACAGGCTGCTCTTTGTTAAAAGAAAATGATTTGGGGGCTGCATTTCATTAAAAGGAAAACCTTACTGAGGACTTTCTTACTCTCACTATCTGCCTAAATAATTGCTTCTTAACTCCTATAAGTTAAAATGAGTTTATTAGGGTGGACTCTGGTGTCCTTATGAAAAGGGGAAATTTGGGTAGAAAAAGAGACACGCACAGAAGAAGATGACGTGAAGCCACAGGGAGCAGGTGGCCGTGTGGAGATGGAGGCGGGGATTGGAGTGATGCTGCCACAACCCAAGAACACTTGGGGCCATCAGAAGCTGGGAGGAAAAGGCAGTCTCTCCCCTCCAGGCGTAGAGGGCATCCTGTCCCTGCTGGCTCCTTGATTTCAGATTTCTAGGTTCCGTAACTAACAGACAGTAAATTTCTGTGGTTCTGAGCCACCCGGCTGGTGGTATTTGGTTCTGGCGGCCCTAGGGAATGAATATAGGGAGGATTCCGTTGTGTGGAGTATGGAGTTGGGGTGGGGAGAGGTACTGAGATGGCAGTGACTCTTCCCCACTCTAAGAAACAGTTCATGAGTCCAGCAGCTGGAAGGCCAGAAACACGCACTTCAAGTGTTCAGGTTCACATGATAGGTGTTGCGGTCTAGGCATCTGGCCGTAGGACAGACGTTCCCACAGTGTGAAGTGTGCCTGGTCATGGCAATGTCACATGGTTATCCAGAGGCACAGTGAGGGCCCTTGGAGGTGAGGAACAAGAAAAGCCAGCCTTCTAGTTCCTGGAAAGTCATTGTCTTTCCCAGGTGATTCAGATCAGGCAAGAGCAGGGATGTGGTAGGTGAAGGCGGGTGAGCACAAACACAGACCCACAATGACTGTCCTGGGATGCACCAATAAGCCACTTTTAAAACAAAGTCAAACTTCCAGCCCCCACCTGCTTCGTATTTATCTTCTCCCCTTCTGCCCTTCTCTAACCCCTGACATTGATTACACAGGAAGCAGCAGATAGGAATACCTAGCCTGGCAGTGTATGTCACCCTGCATCAGGCTGGCAGATTGAGGCTTCCTGGCAGGGTAGGCAGAGCCAATACTCCTCTTGAGAGCTTCCCTGTATCCCACCAACCCAGGGCCGAAGTCTTTGTCCCCTGGGTGCCTGCTGGTGCATGTGCCTGCAGAGCCCGTCTGCGCCCTTTTGTTCTCCTCTGGCTGTTATAGTGTGCCAGCTGCTGACCACTCTTGCCCAGAGAAGGAGGCAGCTGCTAATTTTAGCTCTTCTTAGGTCTCCAGGCAGCACATCTCAGGACTTTTTAAAAAATATTTTTTGGTTGCATTTTTATGTGACCTTGGGAAACACAAAATTGGGAAGACTTCACCTGCTATCGGTAAAATGAAAAGGGAAACTTAATATTTCATTTTAAAAAGTAATTGTGTTTCTTTCCCGTTAGAAGTCTCCTGGGGCCAGGGGCATTTGTCTAAGGGAGTTAACCTGTAACCTGTGGCTTTTAGTGGGGTAAGAAGACAGAAAACTGAGTGTTAAACCAGGGGATAGAACATTCTGCCCAGAGAGCACTAGGAAGACGTTTCTGGCCTGCTTGGCAGAGGCCAGGCCACCCTGTTTATGACAAGCAAATGTGGATTTTTGCTTGATAACCCTGATTTCCCCTTTTCCCCATGGTTTATGTGTTGGGTAGATGGGAACACTCTAATTTGTCTTGGTTCCAAGCTGGATTGACTCAACAAGAAGGCCTTTGAACACATCTGTTGAGTCATGCGCAGCAGGAGGCCGTTTGTGTTCTGAGGATTGTCAATCACAGAAAAGCTGAAAAATACCAGACAGCATAATGGCACAGCAGCCAAACCATGCCTGGACATCTTCTGGTCACACAGGTCTGTCTGTGGAGCTGAGCTGTTTCTCAGAAAGCCATTGGGGTTTTTTAATAAGCTAGAAGAAACCAGGTAACTTTTAACTAAAATTGTTCCTGATCTTTCCTGTTTTGTGTTCAGTTATACATAACTTACTTTATTCATATTTTAAGTTAGTGTCTTGATTACTTTTCTAACTTAATGACCTCCCTTCAAGATTGATGGAGGATTGGCTCATGCCTTTTGCACTGCGATACAAAATTTCTATCATCAGCCAGGGCTTTACTAAGGAAAGCAAAAGTACATGGCAAGGAAATAGGCAATGTGGGAAGCATCTCAGCTTATCTGATGCAGAAAAAAAGAGGGACAGTGGTCAGCTGAGTCTGGGTGCAAGGCTAAGATATTTTTACCAAGAATACTGCTAGAAAGTGAGGGCTTTTTGGATATGGGGCTTTGATATGTGCTTTGGAGACAAAAAGGTGAGTGACCCAAAGATACAACAAAAAGCTGATTTTAAAACAAAGCCAAACTTCTAGCAATCACTTGCCTTAATATCTCTGTCTTCTTAATTTTGTCTTCTGGGTGAGAAAGTCACCATAGAAGAGGTAACATCAGAGGTGAGCTTAATGGATGAGTAAGTACCGGACTTGGGGGATGGGGCATAGCCTGTACAAAGGTATAGAAGCATAAATCATACATTCAGGAACTGCAGGCATTCTGGGATCCTAGCAGGAGAGGATGCAATGTGTGATATTGATGAGTAAGCTGTTTGCACCAACAGATGCCAGAAAGGTAACTTGAGGATCAGATAATGAAGTCCATACAGGCCATGCTAAGGAGTGTGCACTTCATCCTTAGTAGGCTGAGAGAGGCAGGGGCTACAGGATTTTTGCAAGAGTGTGACATGATTTTCATTTTTGAAAGATCCATATAGAAGTCATGTGAAGGGGAGTAGTACTAGGTGCAGGGTGATCAGGAGGAAGCTGTGGGAAAGACGATGAGACTTTCAGCTATGGCTGTGGGGCATCAAAGAACAGAAAAGATGGAAGAAGAAATCTTCAGAGTTCTCCCAAGGAGAATTTTAGGGAATCAGTTAAGTCTTTGTAATTTGTACAGCAATGGTTTTGGTACCTGAGATGGGCAAAAATACTTGAGGTGTATCCTTTTTATTTTGTAGCTCATTATAGATTCATTTCTGAAGTTTGGAGAAAGAATGGTCAGTCCAGATTTTTCCTCTGTTTCTTTGCCTTTGCCCCTAGAATTTGAAGGGATATGCAGGTGCCAAGGAAAATGCCAAAACAGAGAGGTGCTTTGCAGAGATAAGCCACTTGCTCCATATACTGCCTCAAGTAATACTTTTTCCAAGGCCAAGTTCACTCTGGAAGGGGGAGTACCTTTTATAGAAAGTATTTCGTTCTCTGCAGATATTTTACAAATGCTTCAGGTTCATCTTTTGTTTCATTAAACAGTAATAAGCATAGGTGCTTTGTAATCTATGTTTGATACTTTAAATATTTTACATCTGTATGAATCTGTGTCTGCTGTATTCTTTTACTGCTGGGTTTTACCCACAACTTCTCTTTCCTTGGATACTTGGTTATCTTTGACCGCGTGCTGCTCATTATCTTGGATAATTACATGTGAGGTATTCCTGAGGCCTAGTGAGAAGGTATCTTCCTCCTTGTGCTTGTATCTGCCAAACCAATGGGCTGACCCAATAGTTACATTTCCTCAGGGAGAGATTCACTTCCCTCCCCTTCTCCTTTGGAGGTGGGAACTAGGTTTACTCTGGTTTGCCCTTAACCTGAGGATGATTATGATTATTTTCTGGGCCCTAGCTTAATGTGTCTCTGTGGGCCACCTGCTAGACTCATTGCTTTTGTCAGGCTCTGGGAGTTTTCTTCTGCTCTCTTACCCAAAAGGCTGCAGCACAGTCTGAACAGACAGATGTCTTCAGGACAGAAACAACCTTAAGAACTTTCTTTGCCTCCTTTGGCTCTCATTTTCTCTTAGATTCTCATTTTCTCTTAGATTTTGGCCTGGTTATTCCTTACTGTCTTCCTAGAATGTTGCTAGCTGTTTGGAAAAAATTTAAAATACTATCTAGCAATTTTGGATTCTGTTTTCTCCCAGTGGAAGTACTGGTACCAATAACATATCTACCATTGCCGGAAACAGAAGTCTTAGACTCTGCAGAAATCCTGCTTTTCCTCCTAGTCAAATGTGCTAATTGAAATGTCTAAGAAATGACAGTATGCTTCAAATATAAATAGGAAGTGTTAGGTACATGCTTTATTAGTGAATTCATACTGAATTGCTAAGAGAAGTTAGGTGTGTCTCAGATACCCCTGATTTCTGAGGGCTGTTACAGAGGCAGTGTAGGGTGGTAGTGGAGGACTCTGGAGCCAGGCACAATTGAGCCACTTGCTAGTATGGGAACTTGGACTAGGGATCTAACCTCTCTAGCACTCAGATTCGCACCTGTAAATTGAGAAAACTACCTACCTCATAGGGGATTGTAGAGATTAAATAAGATGGTAAATATAACCTTACACAATACCTGGCACGGGATGATCCCTTACTAATGGCAGTTGGTATTGGTACTGGTATTATATTAACACGATTCTGCCAACATGGCCCCATTTTTCTTCTGTCAAAATAGTTTGGTGGATATGTACATGCAAAAGAATGAAGTTGGACCCATACCTCACATAATATACAAAACCTAACTCAAAATGGATCAAAGACCAAAATGTAAGAGCCAAAACTACAAAACTCTTGAAAGAAGATAAATCTTCATGACCTTGGATTAAACCAGGTGTGGTTCTCAGCTAGGACACCAAAGGTACAAGTAACAAAAGAAAAAATAGATCAATTGGGTGTCATCAAAACGGAAAACTTGGTGCTTCAAAGAACATCAAGAAAATGAAAATACAGCCAGAATATGAGAAAGTTTGGGAAATCATAAAATGATGAGAAACTTGTATCTAGAATATATAACTCAATGATAAAAAAGACAAATCACTCAATTAAAAATGGACAAAGTGGGCCAACTGCAGTGGCTCATGCCTGTAATCCAAGCACTTTGGGAGACCGAGGCTGGCAGATAATGAGGTCAAGAGATTGAGACCATCCTGGCCAACAAGGTGAGACCCTGTCTCTACTAAAAATACAAAAATTAGCTGAGCATGGTGGTATACGCCTGTAGTCCCAGCTACTTGGGAGGCTGAGGCAGGAAAATCACCTGAACCTGGGAGGTGGAAGTTGCAGTGAGCCGAGATCGTGCCACTGCACTCCAGCCTGGTGACAGAGTGAGACTCAGTCTGAAACCCAAAAAAGAGCAAATGAGCTGAATAGATATTTCTGCTAAGAAGATATACAAATGATTTATAAGCACATGAAGAGAGACATTGAACATTGTTAGACACAGGGAAATGCACATATATTGCTGATGGGAGTGTAAAATGAAAAACAGTTTGGGCTACATCTGGCACTTTGTTAAAAAGTTAAACACAGTTACTATATGGCATAGCAATTCTTCTGTATATGTGCCCAAGAAAAATGAAAGCTTACGTTCACAGAAAAACTTGTACATGAATTTCCGACCAGCATTCTATGTAATGGCCAAAAAGTAGGAACAACCCAGATGTCTGTCAAATGATATGTGGCTTATCTGTACAATGGAATATTATTCAGCAATAAAGAGAACTGAAGTACTGATTTATGCTACAACATGAATGAACCTTGGAAACATGCTAAATGAAAGAAGCCACTCACAAAGGACCACATGTTTTTTATTCTATTTATGAAATGTTCACAACAGGAAAATCTATACAGAAATAGAGTAGTAGTTGTCTGAAACTGGGAGGAACAGGGATTTGTAGGGTGATAACTAATGGGCATGGGTTTCTTTTTAGGGGATGATGAAATATTCTAAAATTGAATGTGGGTCTTGGCATGGTGGCTTATGCCTGTAATCTCAGCACTTTGGGAGGTTGAGGCAGAAGGATCACTTGCCTTGAGCCCAGGAGTTCTAGGTCACCTTGGGCAAGAGAGGGAGACCCTGTTTCTACAAAAAAAATTCTTTTTAAATAGCCAGGTGTGGTAGCATGTGCCTGTAATCCCAGCTACTCTGGAGGCCTAGGTGGGAGGATTGCTTGAGCCCAGGAGGCCAAGGCTGCAGGGAGCTATGGTCACACTACTGCACTCCAGCCTAGGTGACAGAGTGAGACTCTGCCTCAATATAAAATACTTAAAAATTAAAAAATAATTGATTGTAGTGATGGTTCCACCACTCTGACAATGTTTTAAGAGCCAGTGAATTGTATTCTTTAAAGTGGTGAATCGTGTGATATTTGAATCATATCTCAGTAAGCTGTTAAAAACAGTTTAGGGCTAAAAGACAGTTGATCCGATATGGCTCTGTTTGTTCTTCCATCCATCTATTTGGCTTACCAGCCATTTTATCCATTTACCCACACACCCAAGTGCCTGTCCACTCTTCCTTCCATCGGCCCATTCATTTGTTCATTTACCTTTCCTTCTGTCCTCCCATCTCATCCCATTTTGCCTTCCTCACTCACTGTCAATCCCCTGCTCTCCCCAAAAAACCCAAACCAAAAACTATATTTATTGCTCATCTGCTGAAGTTTAGTCTGTGCTAGTCATCATGTAAGTCTCTGCTTTTCATCATGCTAGTTTGGCATTTCTGATGTGCTTATGACTTGCCACTTAGCATAAGATGACTTTCCCAAGCTCTCCAAAGGAAATGCTCTTAATCCATCCAGTAAACAGATGGATGCAGAGATGTGGAGGCTCTGGGGAGTTTGATACATAGCCAGGGGCTTGCTGAAATGGGAGGAACAGCCAGGTCACATCTCGCCTCAGAGAAGTCCTCAGAATGGTGTGTAGAAAATTTCGGGTTTGTTGTTTGCTGTGAGAACTCAGTGTTAAATGCATGTAACACTCGCTCTTGCCTCCTTTCAGTGGCTCAGTGCAGGTTTGATGCCTGGTAGCTGCATTCCTCATTAATAACACAGTGTCGAGTGATTTCAAGGTTGACCTGGTTTGAAACAGCTTTCTTAATGAGACTG